CCAACAGCCTGGGTCCCATTAGAATTACACCTAGCGCTGCAAGCAGAGAAAGGTGTAAATATCTTAACAAAAGAACAAATAAAGATGTTAAATTCACAAAATGAGTCGATGGTATTGACAGATAAACAGTTGGAAACATTCCTTGAAGTACAACATTCATTGGGTAAATTACTCTACTTCAACATAGCTAAGCTTCGAGATTTTGTAATCATCGCACCAGCATACTTAGTAGAAGTTCTAAGATCTATTGTCACAGAGAAGCAATTTTGGCCAAAAGGTAAACGATTTCGAAATATATTCCAAACCATGCAGAAAACAGGAGCACTCAGTCGTGTCGATATTGATGTCATTTGGAACCAACAAATTTTTAAGCATATTCTGCCATATCAAGATTTCATTATTGAGGTTTTGATTCATCTCGATATACTAGTTGCTGAAAGAAGGATCACAGAAGCTGTAAGCACTTCTCCTCATGCAGTTTCGAAATTCATTGTTCCCTCAATGATTACAAGACCAAACAATACAAAGTACCTGCAAAAATTTTGTAACACTGGAACTGCAATTTTGCTGTCGTACAAATTTGTTGAGAAAGTAATACCCCCAGCATTTCCATACAGATTTATTGCTTCTTTCGTAGACATGTGGGGTGTAAAAAATTACAAAAACAAGAAAAGCATGCTTTTCAGCGATTTAGCAGTTGTGGAAGTAGACAACAAGCATGATGTGGCGGTGCAGGTTATAGAAAATAGAGTGGTTGTGTCACTTATCCATGCAGACAAAAAAGAACATATTGTCCCCACAATTGCAACTTCTGTCCAAGAATGTCTGACTGCAGCCATTTACAGAATTTCAGAATTTTATTCAACTCTTTCAGCAGACTCATTTGCCACAGATCAAAGATCGGATTTACATATTGTCATGCCATTTGAAATAGAGTTTGGAGTACATTGCAAAAAAGAATCATGTTTTTTCCGTCATGACAAAATACCGACAGCAGCAAAATGGCAATGTTCAGAACACAGAGTACATCACGATGTCAGCTGTTTGAAATTATGGTTTTCAGAAAAGGTAAGGTGAAACATCTTTAATTTTGCTTTTTTGTTATGTTATTATGAGATGTTGAACTTCTTCCATAAACCAATGTAATGAAGGTGATGTATGATATTGCAAGAACATGTTATTCATTTAACATCACCATTTCCCTAAACACAAATAATGATAAATGAACATTAAGCCTTTTTTTATACAGACACTGAACATTACATTTCAAAATGAGCATTATCCGTGCTTCCGTTGTTTTTGGTTACATGATTCGTTTAATCATCGTTCATATAACTTACGTGCTTTCAAAATTCATCGCTCCATGTTCTTTCATTGCAACATGCATTCCTTAGTCATCGTTTGTTCTTTGGGCGATTTTTGGTTTATTAATAACCGTTTATTGTGCATGCAATCCGTGTGTTTTCCGTACAATATTCGCTCATTGTGGGTTCTTCTGTAAACGTGTATATAAACAGTTACACTAGAAATTATACATCTATTGGTTCCTGGTTGTATTTGTTCTTTTAGTTTTATCCCCTCTTCAATATTTGAATAAGAATTTGTGGCTTCGATCATCATTGAAGATACGTTAATTGTCGAAATGTGCTGAACATATCAGTCGGAATTTTTCAACATATCAGTCGGAATTAACCTTAATATTATCTCCTTGATTGCGAGTAACATTTTGTCTCATATCTGACAGATACAATTACGACAGAGGATTAGGGCCACAATTAATTTGTTTTTAATGTCAACAAATATCTTGCAATTGCCAACTTTTATCATGATATAATCAAATTTAAATCATCAATTATCGACTTAAATCTAAAAACTTTTAACTTTAGTTTACTATTGCCAACTCAAGTCTACGATTATCAAGTTCAGTCAACGATTATCATGTTCAGTCTATCTACGATTATCAATATTAGTCTACGATTATCAACTTTAATCGTGATAGTTTCACGTTGGCATCAACATTAATCTTAATATTATCTCCTTATATCTCTTATTAATCAACATTAATCTCCAAATTAACGAAATGTCTTGAAAATTCTGACTGATATATATGTTCAGCGTTAATTAGCGGATTATAGACTTGGAATAACAGATTTTAATATGACAATTACTGAAAAGTACTAAAAGTAAAATTTAGCCAAAGCAACCAAATCGGAACGGTCAACTTGAAAGTCAACGTTTTATAAATGTTCATCCATACTCGTGATCGGGTATAAAGTAAGTACACCAATAATTAATGGTCCTATTGCTTTCTATGTTAAAGTTCTCAATTTCAAACAGCTCTTTTGTCTTAATTTCAATTAAAGTAAAAATTGCATGTCAAAGCAACACCTCATAATGTATTGTACTGAACACACCAATATAACTTTATTGGCATATAAGTGAGAACTGTTCCCGGAACTTCGGATGTACCAAAACAGGTAATCCAGATCTGATAAACAGGCAAAATGTACCATACTTTTTAAATGCAATGCAATATTTTTATTATTAAAAAAAATGTTCTTCAATGATCACCAGAAATTCATCTTTCATTTGATACCAAAAGTAACAAAATATTTACATAGTTTTAAAATTCCACCCACGCGAAGGAACTATTTTGTCATAAATATATGTACTGCTTTCTAATCGCGGGTCTGAATTAGTGGTGTTACACCTAAAGATGAAACAGAGAGCGCAACGTACAACAAGCATCAAATTGTTTGATGTATGACCAGATCGACCGACCGTCAATTCAACTGAACAAAAATATTAATCAATTGTAAACATCATATACAACAATGAACAAATGTACCCCTAATAAACCACTGATAAGATTTGTATAACCCAACCTCGAATGACAATGAGCATATTGTCAATCCCTGTGCCTCCGTCCGTCCGCCGTCAGTTATAAGAAACCTTGAGTTATTCATGTCACTTATTAGGAACCCTGAGTAGTGCATCACACAGTTCACACTCTTTTGGTTTATAGGTTCTCGTTTTTTTTCAATAAGCTTTAGATTTTAATTTATTTTAGCCTTGAGCATCATTGAAAAGACATTGATTGTCAAAATGCGCATCTGGTGCAGAAAAATAGGTACCGTTTATGTTTTTACTGCAATTGTCTGATATCGTAAAATACGTTTTAACAATAATAAAGTTACTATGACTCACTTTGTTTTGATTCTACGTTTAGTTCCATGTAGTGTTGTCAGTAATTCCTACATTAACAATTATATCTCCAAGATTAAACATGATGAAGTTTGATAAATTTTAGATTTCAGTAAATAGAGTCACGATTAACGTTGATAATTTTGCGATTTAGTTTGATGCTTAGTTCAATCAAAACGTGAAAGTCATCTATCCCGCAGCGCGCGTTGATCGTCCGTGCAACGCACATAACTCATCGTGCTTGCATTGTACACTATGCAATCTACGTCAATTTTCCGTATTCATATCTCTCTCTCTCATGTTTGTATCGTCGTCGGTGCTTGTATCGTATGTGTGGCCTGTCTAAATGTTAGACTATTTGATGCATATGTTAACTATGGTTTTATACGCATGCAAGGTGTATATAGTTTTGATTATTTCCAATCTCAGGTGAACTATACTTGCACCCATCGTATTAAATTTTCAAAACCATATTTATATTTATTAATAGCTTTGACTCTGTGTATATTTTGTCTTATAGGTGCCTCGTGAAAAGTGTGACTCATCTTGCAAAGGTATGTAGTTAAAACCAATAATGGATGCTGACTTAACTTACACTTTTAATTAGTTTCAAGTGTAAATATGGCATACATGTAGTATTGGTATATTATTTCACAAATGGTTGTGTATATTAAAATTGTAAATTGTGGTAGCAAAAAAGCAAGATGATATTGAAGCCATTTATCGATCCATTTGATGGTAATGTATTTCAAAATAGAAATGTAGACTTTGATTGAAACGGGATTTTAATCAGATTTATTACCTTTTGTCTGGTTAAAATTTGTTAATATTATCAACTCCAACTTCAACGGAAGACTGAACGAATCAATGTTCTGAGTACATTGTTTTAGCTTACAATCATAGAAGCCAGGCATCTTTTATGATCTTTTTGTATTTACACTTCATGAATAACTAAACGTATACAACCAGCAGTCCTATGCAAAATCTACGGATTTTATTGATAATTTTAGTTTTAGTCATAATCCAGTATATCTTCTGGTGGACACAATTTCAATCTTGGTATCTTTGAAGAGTTTATATCAAACATATTAATTTAGAATCAACAGTAGTTTAACGGTGATTTCAAAAACAAAAACATGAAAAAAAAACAAAAAATACAAAAACAGAAAACTGAGGGAATCTCATGAATTCATGAAAAAGGCGTGACCAGATTCGAAAGCAAAGTATATATTTCTTCTTGCATCTTTTACTAAAATCGGAAATCTGTATTCTGGGTTTAACTTTCATTTTGTTTTTTTTTTTCAACAGGAATCGTTTTATTTTCCCGTTATTGTGCTATGGTAATTTTTTTGTATTCTTGTCTTTCGTTTTTGCTAATGTGCTTTGTCAATATGCTTTTTTGTTTTTTTTTTTGTTGGGATATGTGTTTGTTTTATTAAGATTATAACTCAATGGTGACCCCCCTATTTTTGAACTGTTTACCTATTATGTCTGTTTATTTTGTTCACACATCGTTGTCAATATAATGGAATTTTATCACCATTTTCAACATAAGCATATGCCTGTTCCAAGTCAGGATTATGACAGTTCCTATCTATTCGTTTGATGTGTTTGAGCTTTTGATTTTGCCATTTACTTAGGGACTTTCCGTTTAGAATTTTCTTAGGAGTTCAGTATTTTTGTTATTTTACTTTTTATATAGGATTGAATGTATTCATTTCGGTTTGATGATTGTAAATTAACATAGTCATAAATTATAAAACCTCTTATATATTGTTTTGTCAACAGGGTTAGGCAGATTGGAAATAGAACAATCTCCATCGAACAAACACCTAAGACGACTGGCTTCTAGCCTTGAAGATAAAGATTGTCGGGAATTGTTGATAAGACTTGGATTAGACACAATAGTATTGAACAATGTACAAGAGAAATTTTCTCCCTCCGCTTTTCATGAAAATGACTACAAATAAACAGCCATGTTAAGATGGAAAGGTAGTGTGACTGATTCTTCCTTCAAGACCATTGAAGATGCGTTTGGTGAAATTGACAAACACTTACTTTGTGAGGTATGCATAAGCTTAAGATGTTTGTTGTCTCACTAACAGCTTAATATCAACTAGATGAAAACAGATTAAACATAAATCAAACGGGACGTCCAGTTAAAACAGTGTGTAGATATCGCATAGCATTACAGAGATTTACTACGAGAGCAAATGAGAAACCCATTAAAAAAAAGATCAAAATACAAGGACGTGAACAATGTCACAGCAATGCCTCGATAATGAGCAAAACTAAAACACTTGATACGCTATACAAGGCACAAATTTGACAAGTTTTGACACAATTAATATAAAAAGAAACTAACAACCTGATGTATACTTAAACAGACACGAAATTAATGATGGCAGAGAGCTACCTACTGCAACCACTATATAAAAATGCCAAGCTTGGAACAGTCACTCAAAAAAATGTTGCGGGTTACAATATGTTTTGGAGCACCCAACATTCCACTAAACCTAAAGCAGTATAGTGTGACAACACAATCTAAGACCAAACAGTAAGCATCACATAGAAATCAGCTTGATTTATAAATGTTCCTTCTAAGCACAAACAGCTGTTTTTTTTATCAATAATTTTGAAAAAAATATGCAAATAATTTATTTCCAGAGAATTGTTGCATAAATTTAGAGCATACTTAGTAAATAAGATATTCAAAATAATTTTGCCAAAATCATTTTGTGTATATCTTTCGAAACAAAACAGTAAGTTATGAATAGAAATATCAGAGACACGGAAATTTATAGTAAACGTAGTAAAAGTTTGACCCCCAAAAAAAGTAGCACATGAAGATATATCTTTTATTACATACTTGAATCGATTAGGTGAAAAATAGTTTGTATGCAAATGGTCTTATAAAAGCTCCGAGGTTTCAAAACTGTATCGTATACCCTTGAGCACTGAATAGCAAATGAAGATATTCATTAATGGATTTAATGCGTTCGAAATCATTTCTATATGCCTTCATCAGAAAGCGAAATCGTCAATACCAAACAAATTAAATACCAAGTGACCAAAGGGTATCCCAAATTGATTCAATTCACCTGTACATGATGGAGTTGAAACCTTAGTACCTAATACATTTTAAATTGATTAATAGAGATTTTCAAAAATAGTATGGTCTAAAGCATTTGAGTACCGAAAGACCGACATTCTAGTTGAAAATGAAAATATCACTTTATAAATCAGGGGTGTCACTTTGGGTTTCCTGGAGTATTTTAAATGTTTTTCAATTAAAACAAATGATTTCATTTTGTTTTGATACGTATTTCGGTAATGATGAAGACACAGTATGGTTTATATAAAAAGCTAAACAGCTTCGTTGAACCTTTATATGTGAATGCATTTGATCACAAAAAAGTGATGTTAGTCGAGTTACCTTACGGAACCTATAACTTTAAATAAGTTTAATTGGTGAGTGGACATAAAACAAATTGATACTATGATGAACAGAAGTATGATACAGTCACATGCATTTAGATGCTTTGATGGATGGCTGTTAAATGTCCAGTGGTAATTCAAATAGATATTCAGGATGAAAACGTGATTATGTGGTATGAAATATTAACCCTGCTTTTACTAGACTGTCATGCAGGGCTAGATTTCAATGAGCTAGTTTACAGAGTAAAAGTCTAGAAGAAACCATGTAACGTTACCCAGACACAACTTTCGGACTCCAAGCCGACCAGTCTTTTATCATACTCCAAGATGTTGCATGCTTAGTGGAGAAGAAGAGCAGCAAATACCAATTTACAAGTAATTGGTATGACCTAGCTCGACCAACGACCTTTTGCACTCAGAGCCCACTTGTTACAACGAGCCTTCCGAGGTGGTGATTTTTTTTGGAATTATTTCCTTCGATTGTACGTCTCCTAAACAACATGACTGTATTCACTTGTGTACTGTCATTTTTTTTCCTTCATACTATACTAAATGTACGACGTATAACACTATGTGATACTTAATATGTCGTGAGACTCAAGGCATATCTGATAAGTGTTTACTCCTCAAGAGAACGACATATTATGTGCAAGTTATGTACCTTTCATCTACTCATACCGTTGTATGTTTATAGTGTGTATATATGATTCATTACACACATGTATATAAACATACATCAAAACGATTGACTTTGAATATATATCTAAATTCACCCCTTTAATTTCAGGTTATTAGAGATGTAAATGTAGATGACGTACTGAGGAAGTTTAGTAAGTTTTAAATTATATTTATACTTTGTAAGAATTTCTGTGTATAACATATTAGTAGACATTAGGAATCCATATATTATATATTATAACACATTAAGAACTCGTAAACAATAAGCACAAATTAAGACGATTCAAGGAACAAAACAATTCAAAAGGTTTAATAACATCATTGTTTTCCCCCTACTAGTCTTTAACAAATTTGAACTTTCCAAAAAATTGTGCAGAATTTATCTTTGTTTCAATTAAGAAATACTTGGCATGAGTTAAGTTTTATCCTGTCCAGTACTATAGACACAATTGCATATAACATTTCATTGCATATAGGAAAATAACCATCACTGGAAGTAAACCAATCAAATGTTCACCTCTTTTATACCTATGTAAAAGCTTTAGTAACCATGTAACCTCAAGTTTCCAAAATATTCTATAGAAACCCCAAATAAGAAATAATGATGCTTTGAAATCACCAGGATATATGTTTATGACGCCATCACGAGTTGGTTGACCGTTATGGAATATCCGTTTCACAGATGATATCGGATATGTTCCTTATGTCGTCGTATGTTCCCTTTTCACGAATGTGACCTACCAAATTAGACTATTTACCGGGTTTGTAATAACATGAGCAACACGATGGGTCCCACATGTGGAGCAGGATATGCTTACCCTTCCGGAGCACCTGAGATCACCCCCAGTTTTTGGTGGGGTTTGTGTTGCTTAGTCTTTAGTTTTCCATGTTGTGTCTTGTGTACTATTATTTGTCTGTTTGTCTTGTTCTTTTTTAGCCATGGTGTTGTCAGTTTATTTTCATTCTATGAGTTTGAATGTCCCTCTTGTACCTTTCGCCCCTCTTTTACTGCAATGAAATGCAGCATTAATTATCTACAACTGTCAAATTCAAGGGACTATTTCGTTCTCGACCCTTTGTTGTTTGCAACCGGATGAGTTTATTTGTACAGTTAACCATCGTCTAACTCCTTGAAGACATTCTTTTAAAACCAACAATAAGCTGTTGTTTAACCTACAAATCCAGTCGACACGTTGTTTGATTGACGACTTCGTTGTTGAACGGATGAACTATTTCGTTTTGTTATACTTAAAGAAAAAAAAAACACGTGATCTACAGATAACAATTGTATGTCTCCAACTTCCATATTAAGACAACAAAAACATGTTAGTCAACACTCAGAGATGACAAAATACAAAAAAAAAAACCACTTCGAAAATGCTTGCCTTTGAAGCTCTTTTCTGGCATTACCTTCATTAGGAACGCTCAAAGCCAAATATAAGAAATACAAGGACGTAAACAGATTTACCAACAAGGCATATGACATAAGCCGTTATACTGTAGAAGCACAGAAGCTTTGTTTTGATCTCTGTATTTATACTGGTGAACAATCAACAACACTACAAACCAGTACAAGTCTGAATGGGCACTTATTGTACTCCTCCACTGTACTGCTTTTACTCGACCATTCTCAGTTGGGCTGAATTTAACTTGATATTACCCAGCTGTATTCTAAACCATACCCAAAAGTCAGAACTTGTACTCGAATCTTTTCTTAATCATAGTGATAGGACTGAACTCATATTCGACCTGGATTAAACGGCATTAATCCATTCTCGACCTATTTCATGTTTTAAAAATACTCGATGATAATAGAAAAACAAAGGATATATGGTATTGATTCATGACACAAAATCAGTACGTGCACAACAACAAAATACACACAACAAAGCATAGTAACAGCGCTTTTATTGTTGTTCTTCTTCTCAAAGTCACAGTGAGACTTGAAAGTCTGAACCATACTCGACCAAATAACTTGAAGGTCTGAAATACACTCAACAGAAGGATTTAATAGTCTGAATCAAACTCAAATTAAGTATAAACTTTATATTCCAGTCACACTATGCCGCGATCGCACTACGATCTCTGAAAAAAATACAAATTTTGACGATCGTAGTGCGATCGTGTAGATCGCAGTAAGGTCGTGATACGGTTGTGATGCGGTTATTAATGATCGTGATGATCGTGGCCAACTTTCAATATGTTCAAAACAATCGTGGTGCGGTCGTGGCGATATCAGGTTCTAGTAGAAGCGTATCAAGAGCGTAGTAAGGTCGTGGTAAGATCGCAAAGGTCGCTGTACTACCGTAACGAGAGCGTAGCGAAAGCGCGATTCTAGTCGGAGAGATAGGTCTACGATCTCACAGCGACGTTACTACGACCTCACTTCGACCACCACGTTCTCCCGGCGACCCAACAACTTCTTCTACGACTATACTACGTTTATACTACACTGTTCAAGACCATAGCACGATTCTAGCACGCTCATGCCGTCCTCATCACGCTCGTCTTACAACTTGACTATGTTCATACTACGACCATTTCGTGTTCTAGCCATGCTCATTGTCATTGTCACAAAACAAATATATAAAAGCTCTTCAGGTTTTGTTTGTCTGTATGTAATTTAGACCTCATGTCACTAATTTCCAACAGCTCAACCATGCTTGACACATCTGTATCATTCCCACTATTGTTTAATAAAATATCGTCATTTGATCATGATGGATGAGCAATACGTTGTAATTCAGGTTAGATTGGTTGATCCGACATCTCTACTGGATCAGAATTCGTATCAGAGGCCCCTCTGACTCTACCTCTACCCCTACCATCACGACCACGAGTTCTGGTAGATGTTTATGGCATGTCCGTGTAGTTTTTGCAAATTCTATGTATTAATGACAATGAAAAGGAATGGAAAAAGATGTTGACGTTATTGCTGAGAGCGTAGTTTTATCGTGGTGTGAACGTGTCAAGATCGTAGTATGATCGTGGTGAGAGCGTGCTATAATCGCAGAAGAAGCGTGGTAATATCCTGTTGCAATCGGATAAATCATGTTATGGTCGTAGTGAGAACGTGATGAGCGTACTAAGATCGTGATAATCGTAGTGAGGTCGCAGAGTAAGCGTGGCGAGTACGTGATATAATCGTAGCGGGATCGTTGTAAAAGCGTAATGAGGACGTAGTAGCATTGTGAAAACAACGAAAATCTACATTTTCATGCCGCTCATACCGCGACCTCACCACGATCTGAATGTATTTTAGATCGGGGTAAGCGTGGTTCGATCGTGGTCTAGTGTGACTTGGGCATTACTTGACCAATGAACCTTTACTTTATAAATCTTGAATTATAACATGTATAATTTATATTACAATAATCCGCTTGTCTCAACACTTTTCTTATCTTACAAAAATCTTAATAATATATGGTAAAATTTCATTCCCTCGGAGTACATTTTTGTACGATTTGACATATATAATGTACGGATGTGAATAAAGTTATTATGAATTGTAGTCTTACTTCCAGGTATTCTAGAAGACCAAGCAAACAAAACACCTACGAGCACTACATTACAGGAACTGTCCAATCATATAGGAAATAGCGGCATACAGCTAGGAGTAGAACTTGGATTGCACAGTGCTGAGATTGAAGGAATTCAGAACGATCACAGCTGTAAATTGTTACATCAGAATAAAGAAATATTACGAGTTTGGAGCCAAACAAAATTTCCTATGCCAACAGTTAAAGAACTGGTTAAAGCTTTACAAAGAATTGGCAAAATTGATTGCCTGCGGGAAATATCATTTTAAACAGTACAAGATGATCTTAAAAACCATTCTCACAATTTTTAAATGTAGATTATATAAGTTACACAATACGATAAAATAAATAACTCGCGGAATGTCTTGTACGTGGTCATGCTTTTCTTAGGCTGTGTATGGCTTTTCCACACTTCATCCGTCATGGGTGTGGTAAACAAAACTTTATTCTGTGAAAACTTGACCCAATTCATTAGTTCGAAATTAGCTTTGGACTACATGTAGCTTTTTAAAAGAAGCATGAGTATTTCTAGATCTTTACTTTATGTACTTTTTTTTGTTTTACAGTTTTAATGCGTCGATCTTTAGAGTCAAGTTTGTGTTAGCAAATATTTTTAATTGTATGCCATTGAAAGAAGTAGCATTGTTTATTTTATGCTGTAGTTTTGTTTGTGATTTTTGTTTGTTTGTTGTTTTGTTTTATGTGTTTGTTTATCAGGTCTTTCCACTTTTCCATAGAACGACCTTCTGATTGTGATCTGATTTCTTCAACTACTTTTGTTTTTTAAATGTTGCTTCAAAAATGTCAATCATGGCATTTACAAAATAATTGGTATATGATGTTTAACAATTATTTAAGACTCACCCTTTTTATTGGAACACTTGTCCATATTGGAGTTATCTCCGAGCATACTGTTTTTGTAGTAACCGCTTTTCATAAAAAAAATAATTGTAAAATTTATCGCTCAATTGATTTCTTTAACATTTTTAGTTTTTCCTCAGAATGATCTTTCAACGATCATTGTATGAGATGTGGTGTAATTAAATACAATGAAATATAGAAACCTAGAGGCTTCTGATATAATATTCATGGTTGATATGCATGAAATAAAGGTTCAAAGAGCAGGGCCGTAGTATCAATTTTGAAGTCTACTTGTAAACGCAATCAGTATAGTGTTCTATGCGTATTGACAGACCGACATTGGTGGCGATATTCTGGATTCAGCTTACTTTTCAACGACCCATTAAAAAAACCAAAAAAAAAACCGGTAAACCTATTTTATATTCATGCCTCAGTTGTAATGATAATGACATCTGATATTACTAGTTAGTTTTTCTGCTTATTGTGTATAGTTTTTGAATTGTCAAAAAAATAACAATGTCCTTACAAAAATAGATCTAAATTGTTTAATCATGTTATTTTGAAAAACAAATAAGTAAGACAGTTTTTATTTTCCTTGGAGTCCGGTATTTTTGCTGTTTCACTTTTTACTTGGCTAGCTAACATAATTCGTTCTCTTTCACCTGTAACATCTGCCTGATATCACTGGAATATAATAAAGTCACAATTTTTGTTTGAATTAGATTGGACGACAAATGATATTGAAAGCGTTCAATCAGAAATAGCCTCGTGTAAAACAGAGATAGCCTAATAATAACATATTTTTAGGATCATATAAACGGGAATTGATTATTTGCAAACGGGAAGAATTAAATAATCTGATTAATGCAAGCACACATAAGGAAACTAAATATGTGTTAACTCAGTGTAAGGAAAACTATCATATTATTTCAAACAGAAATACACGGAAACTTATCCTTTGGAATATGTCAACAAATTAGATGGCGACGAAGTGACTTTTTAAACCGAAGTACAAATGTAGCTGATCATCTCCAGATTTTAAAGAAGAAAAAAAACCAACACAGTATGTATATTTGGCATCTGTGTGAGCTTAGTTATCTGTTTACACTTTTATTTTGTTCAAAAGTGTTTTTTTTTTAATTTAAAAAAAAAACATATCTGTATAAAGTACTTTTAAACTATAAAAGAGGGACGAAAGATACCAGAGGGACAGTCAAACTCATAGATCGAAAACAAACTGACAACGCCATGGCCAAAAAGAAAAAGACAAACAGACAAATAATAGTACAGATGACACAACATAGAAAACCTAAGACTAAGCAACACGAACCCCACCAAAAACAGGGGGTGATCTCAGGTGCTCCGGAAGGGTAAGCAGATCCTGCTCCACATGTGGCACCCGTCGTGTTGCTTATGTTATTACAAATCCGGTAAATAGTCTTATTCGGTAAGTCACATTCGTGAAAAGGGAGGGTATTGTAGTTACGACATAAGGAACATATCCGACATCATCTGTGAAACGGTTATTCCATAACGGTCAACCAACTCGTGATAGCGTCCGTAAAATTTACGAAGGGATGACTTCAATTTCACCATTTGGAACTCTTGGTTTAATAGCTTCCTTGTGAGCAGCAATCCTCTATCAAGGAAATCATGATAGGAAACACAAGCCGAGGAATATCGTATCAATTGGGAGATATAGACTCCGTATGCAGGCGCTGCTGGAATGTTGCTACATTGAAATGGAAAGTTCACAATTGGGAAGCTGAAATCATCTCTTTTGTCGTAAAGTTTTGTTTTCAACCGACCCTCATTGTCAATTTCTAGATGTAAGTCAAGATATGAGGCAGTATAAGTATCATCATATGCAGTATAAAGACCTAAATCGTTCTGCAAACATTGTGTTTTCAAAGTTATTTGATTTTTTACATTTAAAATTTTGTTCTTGTTTAATCCAATATTTCTGTTTTTTAACTATTAGGACATTTACGCGATATATATAGACCTGATGTATATCAACTACCTAATATACGTTTAATATACACAACAATAATTTAGAGAAAGGCTTGTGTAGGGTTTAGAATAGATTTGTTAGCTACGAATAATGCCTAGAAAACAGAGACTAATATTCAACTCAAATGTAATTACATGCGACTTACAAGCGAGATATCTTTCGTGTATTTGATTCCATATATTATGGGGAAATTTATTTTAACAAGCACATTTTCAATTTTGTAAGGACAAATATAGTGTGCAATGTAATACATAAAGCCACATGCAAATGTACTTGTTTATGTGTGCACAAAATAAATGTGTTATGTATAAGGTTTACTGTGGTACATTGAATTGTCATTCTATTGGTCAGATTTAGTTAGATTATAAGATAAAGATGTCTTGAATTATCATTCCCCCACCTTAGTAGCAATATACCAACTTCACCTGCATATGGGATATACATTTCTTAACTAATTTGGTATTCAAGAGCTTGCAGCTACAACAAAGACTTTGTAAAACGTCACCAGTGTCTGTGCAGAAGGTTGGTGAACCAGGGGTATATCAAAGAACGTATCGACCTTTTTCTAAAAAAATTCATCGGATAATACCAAGACCTTGTTGATAAATATTCCGTATCAACTTCACATAATACACGATGGTCTTGAAGTAAAGATTCTAGGTACTGACATTGTTTATCATCATAATGACGTGTTATATTATTCTTTTATTTGCTTTGTAAGTTATTAATTCTACTGTTTAGTCTATTTTTGGTAATATTTATTTGACGTTGCTTGGTACTCATGCATCCCGTCATTTAGTTATTGTGCTATTGTAATTGTTTTTATTCTTGTCTTTCGTTTATTGCTTATGTGCTTTGACTATATGCCTTTTTTAAAATCTTAACTGACATATTTACATGTTTTTATATTGATTAAGAATATAACACTACGTTGACTGATGTACCCCTATTTTTACTGTATATCCAAATTGTGCAATATTTTACATTGAATGTTTTGGCATGAAAACTAGCAATCTATTTCATATTTACTTAATAGTGATAATTGTAACATTGTGTGAGTGACCAATTTATTTTAATATACTAAGATACTTTTTCTTTTTCTTCCGATTACGGAAAAGACTCCGGTGCCGGAGTGTGTAATATTCCGAAACTGTGGCGCTATGTACAGGGGGCACGGTAGTATTTCCTGGCCCATAAGGGATAATGATAGCCTTTTTAAAATTTTCACTACTTTCTAACACTGCCAAAAATTCTACATAAACAGTTAACTGAAGTACTTTCCTTATACTATTCAGAAATGAATTTGAATATGTATCATGACCGTTTACTTTTTTTGATATCTTTAAAAACCTAAGGCCACTAGTGCTTTTATGTCTTTTATCATGCAGTGAATACAAAATTCTCAAAAATTCTCAAAAATTCATTTTCACCTGTATGTAAAATTATTTCATATTTTTCTACACCTGATTCATCCCTCAGTTTGGGAAAGTATGTTCAGTTGATACTGTATTTTTTTTCCAATCGCACTGTTCAGATACATTGACTTAAGTAGGGTACACAAAAGAGCAACCCAAGTTCTGGAATGCAAATACTACCGTGATACCTTAACCAAGACCTTACAAACTTGAAATCAGTCATGACACCTATGATGCGTAGACTGCTGACTAGGAAACAAATAACAATAAAGAATACTAGTCTGCACTTATTTCTTACCAAAAAAAAATAAAAAGTATATCCCTACCTCAGCTGGCAGATTTTCACTTTTTTTTCATCTGAACATTTTTACTTAAGGAGTGAACAAAACCCAAATGTATGTTGTTTCAAATCAACACAGAAGTAAACCATGGTGATTCAGGAGGAATTATTGGATTGCCAACTCTATTTATAGTTAATCTGACTGAAAGAAACAGTTTAAGCACCAAATCATGAAAAATGTTAGTAAAGTCCATTCCACATTTTACAGCATGCCTTACATTCCTTTCAGCATTTCCAGATTATGAAGGCAATATAACAAGACTCTTCATATGGCAATTAACTATTATTCAAAGATTTTTTTGACAATACATGTACTAGAATATATCTCTAAGTTGACTGTTTGTCTATTTCTCATGTATGCATCAAGTTAAATTATGTCCCCTTACATAATCAATTTAGCTTTATTGTGCTTTTCAGGGTCAGAAAATCAAATAAATTAATGACATTTGCATGGAAAATGAATAAACTATTTAATCTTGCTGATATACAATCATAATAACATACTTTGTTCCCAAAAAATGTCTTTTCAATGTAAAGAAACCCCTATAGTTATCTCTATTTCAGCTAAATATGAGAGCTAAATGAATAAGTAAGGACCTCCTAACCACTTACTGGTTCCAAAAATGCTCATACTGGTGTCATGTTACCACAGAACAACAAATCAAACCTAAAGAAAACTAGTAAAGCTGTACTTGTGTGGAAAAAAATAAGAAATTATGCAATTTATTCATTTTGGTGAAAATAATAGGACGAAAAGGCAACTAAAATATGTCGTGTCT